AACACCTAAGTTTGACGATGCAAGATTAGTGTGTCTTCTTCTATCCCCTTCGGGAAACGACGTTGCAGCATTCACCTTCTCTGACAGTCAGTAAATCCTTTGTTACACATATATCTTCGGTGAGTTAGCGGGCCGTTGGTGGCAAGCAATTGCAGTGACATGTGGTTTGCTTGCTTTCGCACAATTAGCTTATTTGCACTAAACGACTAATTAGTAGCGCAAGTTTGTGGAATGCGTGCCTAACTGCACGGGAAGAAAACGAAAGGGACACAAAGTGATAAAAGCTAACAGGGAATTAAAGCACTGCCAAATGAATAGAGCATAAAAAGATAACTTGCTAAATGCTCATGGTTCAGTTGATTTCAAAAAGTGGCTAATTCGGAAAGATGACTGGGGGTTAGGAGGAATTTTTATGAATTGAAAGCATTCAATTCATCAACGCGAAACTATGTATTCCAAGGTTTTCCATGGCCCGGTGTCTATCCCATTGACAGCTAATATATATATATATATATATATATATATATATATATATATATATATATATATATATATGTCATTAACTGTCAATGGGATAGACACCGAGCCATGGAAAACCATGGAATAAATGTTCATAACAATTACAGAAGGCACAAAAGGGAAAATATATAACGAAGTAATTTGCAAGCTTCATATATTATTTTGTCTTTCTGGTGGGTTTAGTGATTACGGTTTTGATCAGTAGAACCAATGCGTAGACTCATATAGACCTTCCATTGGTCCCGATTACGCGCCAAGTCCTCAAGAGTGTCCAACCAGCGATATTCATCTCTGACTCCCCATCCCGGAAGGCGTACAAGATTAACAACAGCTAGACTGGAAGTCAGTGCCTTGACATTTTGTCGCCATGTGGTAGGTTGACCATCGCGCGATTTCTTCCAGTGCGGCCCTGCGCGAGCGAATAGAGCGCGCCGTGGTAAACGCTCGCATGGCATGTGTAGGACGTGACCTATCAACCTCAATTGGCGCGGCGACATTAGCCTATTGAGAGGGAGGCCCGCGTTACCAAGGACGCGACGTCTAACATCGTTGTTGCAAAGGTGATGTTTCACCACACCCGAGCTATTCTCCGCGTACAACCGTTGCCAAATGCTGAAATCCGAAGCGGATAAGCCATGACTTACTTCTGTACAGCACGACCTCGCGAACAAGCATTGTAAACCCCGCCCTTAACTGAGAGTGAAACATCACGACGCCACAGATGCCTCGGATCACTGAAAGCTGATCGGGCATTGGCAATACGGAGAGAAATCTCTCTTCCAAAGGTGCCATCAGAAGAGACGCAGCTCCCAAGGTAGATGAAGCTATCTACTTGTTCAAGCTGCACAACTTTAAGAAGCAGCATGGGGACAGGTGGATGCCGATCCTGGACCTTGCATTTCGATGGAGCGAAGGTCATTCCATACTTGGTAGCTTCAATCATCAAGTAGCTTAGAACGACCTGCATGATCTGTGGGTCGTCACCGAGCAAAGCAATATCATCGACACAGCCCAAGTCAGTCGCGCGGTTGCCTGGAAGAAACTCTACGCTAGAACCCCGGATACCTTCCAGAGCGTTACAGAAGACATCTTAAATCGCCAAGTTTAAGAGAAAAGGGGACATGGGGCATCCCTGTCGCACATCGCTAGTGATGACGAAAGGTGAGGAGAGCTTACCGTAAGCCTTCACTCTACCAATGACATTGTTGTGTAAAGCAAGAAGTTTGGCAGTGTCACCATCAACAGCAGTACATCAGCCATTTGAACTGATGCTTCGCTGCCATACAACCATGAGGACCTATGAAATAAAGAATAAGAAGAGGGAGAGAAGGGGGACTTATCTGAAAACCTTAATGCCCTAAGCAAACATTCAGGGTCAAGGCGCCTACACCTTGTGTACACAACATTCCGTCACAAACAGCTGGCTATCGTGCAAAGATAAGGCGGCATCGGCGAGACAGCTTCCTTGCGGTTTTCACTGCCACGCGTCATAATCAGCCATTACCCCGCAGATAACTCAGCACCAAACACACTTTAAACAGACAATCCGATTAAGAGACGGCAGCAAACGCGCCACTGGTGTCGGTTGCGAGGCATGTCCTGTAAAGTCTCGAGCCAAGCACAAGGTGAGTCACGTGGACTCCAACCCGGAAGGCGAGACGGACCAACGGCACCCAGTTTGGTCGTCAGTGGCTTCATTTCCCGCTGCCAAGTCAACTTCTGTCCACCTCGAGCCTTGCGCCATCCTACACCTGGTAGACTGAACAAGGCCCTCCTGGGTAAGCGGTGACCAGGCATGCGTAGCACGTGCCCGAACCAACGCAACTTATTCAGTGCTATCTGTTGTTCTACGGAGCAAGCATGATCATCACCACCTAGTACTCGCTTACACACATCATCGTTGCGGACACGCTGGTGCCATCCGACACCAGCAATGCTTCGCAAACAACGATGATCAAAGACTTGAAGGCGCCTCAGATCTTCAGACCGAAGGGGCCAAGTTTCACTACAATACAGCAGAACGGCCCTCACTGTGGCCTTGTATACCCGGCCTTTCAGACGGAGGGAAACTCCCTTCTGTCGCCAAAGATGACGCAGGTTCAAGAAGGCAGCTCTGGCCTTTGCAATGCGTGAGCTCACGTCAGTTTCTATGCGCCCATCATTGCTGATGCAGCTGCCAAGATAAGTGAATTGATCAACCACCTCGAGTTCCTCGTTAGCAAGGGTCAAGGGTTCGTCGAGTGGCTGGTGGTCCTGCAGCAACACTTTGCACTTTGAAGGTGCGAAGTGCATACCAAATAATGGGACCACTCTGGATAGGCTATTCAAGGTTGATTGTGCCGCCACAACATTGTCGAAAAGCAAGACGATATCGTCCGCATAATCTAGATCAACTAACCTTTCACCAGGCAGCACTTCAACACCTACATCGTGAGATTCCGCAAGGGAAAACTCCATGATAGAATCCACGACGAAATTGAACAAAAACGGGGAAATCGGGCAACCCTGTCGAACGCCACTTGTAGTCGAAAAGCTATCCGATAGGGCACCATAGACCCTGACGCGGCCTGGCAGTATACTTTTCGGGTATCCCATTCCCTTGTTGACAATGCCATAAAGTAGGCCGATAGACCGAGTCGAACGTAGCTCGGATGTTCAAAAAGGCGATAATAGTAGGCTAGCAATAAGGGCGGCGCTGCTCGAAGAGTTAGCGGAGTGTAGACACGTGGTCGCCATACCCATGACCGAGGCGGAAACCAGCTTGTTCCTCATCGGAGTGTAGTTCCCGAATCGGTGTTAGTCGGCACAGTAGAACGGATGTTAGCATTTCGGAGACAACGGAGATTTGACTGATTCCTCTGTGATTGGCGCATGAAGTACCAGCGTGTTTTTGGAAGATGGGTACGATAATCGGCTCACTCCAAGGGGATGGAATCTTTTCTGCACATCCAACCTTGGAGAACAGAGCTGTTAACTGGTTGACAATTGCCTCACCACCGTACTTGAATAGCTCCAGAGGAACTCAGTCTGAGCCAGCAGCTTTGAATCCCTTCAAGTGACGAAGTTCAAGACAGACCTCCGATTCCGTAGGTGGTTCTAGCGAAGCAAACAAGCAAGCAATTAGGCACCCTTGTTAAACAACCAGAAAGAGAAGGCCAACTGATCTGAGAGTGGAAGTGTCCAACCCAGTGGTTCATGTGCCTATGCAAATTAGGGATTGGTGATCCATCAGCCTCGCAAATAGGTTCACTGACACCAGATCTTCTGGGACCTGGTGGCTGTATCCTGCGCTCCCATATCTTTCTGGTCAGATGTACCTACATGGTGAACAAAGTGCCAATCACACGCAGATCATGTGAAAATGTGGGAACAGTTAGTAATAAACTCGTAAGTTAGCTTGACCTAAATACGGTCATGATTATTTTCACATGGGAGAAATCACTCGGTGAATCGTTCTGAGAACGGCCTAAAAACATATAAACACCCACGTTTCCAAGTCTTGGCTTTCGCCTCAACTATTCACTAAAGCGCCCCAATAGTGCAAACTTTTGGGTCCGCACGATGCAAGTCGGTAAAGAATCGTGACGGGGTACCAGAAAGCAGAAAAACAGACCTTCGAATCAGGAAGAACAACGGGTTCACATTCACGCACATTAACTCTAACGAACCAATGAAATCGAAGCTGGTTGTACAGACCACATTGGCCGAAGTCACACACTGTTTCGTTCAAAAGTATACGATTGATAAGAAACAGATCTTAAATTGTCCAATCGATACTGCCCAGTAACGTCCGCTCTGAGCCGTAAAATTAACATTTCTGGGGAAACCCGGTTTGCACAACACACATTTGCGTATCGCCCACGTAAGAGTATTGTTAGCCTTGTACCTATTGACCTACGTCGCTAGACAGCTTTTCGGATCATGAAAAGCCTATTCGCTTACTATTATTTTGTGCGGTTAACGTCGCACACAGATGGGAACGGTGTCCAAATCATTCACATCGGTGTAAAGTTACGCAAATCCGATGAGGAGCAGAAGTAGCCTTTTTTGAAGAATTAAAGTACTCCGCCTTTGTCTGGAATAGCTTAGTTGGATACAAAACACCTATAGAGGGGTTTGAACCACGGTTGTCTAGAATATGACGTGGATACAAGGTCCGCTGCCCCAAGCGTGTCCAAAAGAGTCGTTAATCGAAGAACGCTAGCTGCCTTCGCGATAGAATTAACAGGATGTGCCCCCATTTGCATAAGGAGAATTTTCGCGGCCGGGTAAGCCACAGATAATTTTAAAGACAGGAGAACTACCACCAAATTGCAGAAGATGGATTGTTTTGGGCTCTGACCCATCAGGAGAATGCAGTTTCCGGAGCAAATGGATGAATAATAAGAAAAACGATACGACATATATAGTGAAACACCCGGGGATCCAACAATACGCGGATACAGCCAGTACGGGAGCTGAAGAGGTAATAAGCACGATACCTTGGTTCGAAGCATTTCCAACGAAATGTCCATCAACTCCATCAAAACTAACACCTCGGAATCGTGAAGTAGACCGCCGTAGCACATGACCACACAAGGGCATGTGGTGTTTTGGCCGACACTCAGATCCTTTTGTATCTGTGCACGATTCGTGTGCTCCTGATACAGAGCAATCCATTTGACAGCGAAGACACGTTGTGACGGACGATGAAGCATGCGTTCGACGCGGCCATACTGGCCACGACCTAGGGAAAGGAAAAATAAATAGAGTAAGAGTCTCACAACGGAGAGCAGGAGTACTGAATTATATTTGTATGTCACGATTTGCACGAGGGTATGCTTCGTCAAAAGCTACCATAAGGGTGCCCATGACCCACCGAAGCTTCAAGATAGAGAGAAAGCGCGGGTGCAGCGCATTCCCCGGAATTCTGGGAAGTGGGACAAGGGGCTTAGCTAAACGATCGAAGCTTTAGGTTCTATGAGGCGAGCGTTGATGGTGCGATATGGTAACAAAACAGAGTGCATTTAAGGAACGGTTCATAAGCAGAAAAAAGGAATACGCCATTTGAAAGTCTGTCTCATACAAGCAGTGGTCACAGTTATCAAAACGGATGATGAGGGGGGAATGGAGTGAACGACCTCACTCCTCTCAAGACTGAGCTGCGCCCCCGTGGCATCGACATCGATTACATCCAGGGAAACCGCGGCATTGTAGGTGGGTAATATGCGTCGCACGAAATTCAACGGTTCCAAATGCTACTAAGGTGAAGGTAAAAGATAGAAATCACCTGTGCGAGAACATACTGTGTGAGTTCTGTTGCTGGCTCGGCTGGGAGACCCAGGAACCCCAAAAAAGGCCAATGTGGGCTTTTGAGATGCGATGTTGGTCCGCAGCTTATAATTGATTTGGAGAGCAATTATTGCGGCCATCGAGACATCCCATTTCGTTCGAACACCAATAAGTAAGCCAATACAGAACGAGGAGAAGCACAACGAATGTGGCTGCGCAAGGAGTGGCATGCCTGCATCTAGCTATTAAGGTTCATTGCACCCTGATGAATTGTGTGTGACTCGCTTATGATTCCACGTTTTTGTACTCTATTTCGTTCAGCCTCACTTGCTTACCATTGTTATTTATTGTTATTCGGGTGATGTGAGTCGTCCTAACTGGATCTACCACACTTTGGTGCTCGTAGCACACTTGTTCAACTGAACCCAACTGAACCGAGTTGCGTTAGATGAATCGCATAGAACTGTCGAGGCAAAACAAGCGAGCGTTGTAATTTGGAGCCACCAAAGCTCAGTGAAAATGCGATTACACGAACAACCCCGAATGTCTAGAGTAACCTGAAAGGCGTAAAAGATGATGGAGGTGTGAACCCTTTGACTAGACTCGCAGTCAATGGATGAAAAGTGAGAAGTGGTATCAGCTGGAGTGCATGCATAGTATGGGGGGGGGGGGGGCTGATGCACACCTCAGGGAACAGACTGACACGAAGCGCTGACTGATATAGTGGGATACTTTGGGATACTCGCCTGACGCTGTCTCCGATGTGCTACAAAATCGCGTGTGCAAAGTCAACGACCAGTTCAGTGCGGTGATGCGGTGATGAGGGCGACTGTTGGCAATTTTTACATGCTGGGTTCGAATCATGTCACCGGAGTCCAAACAAGAATGAGACGCGCAGTGGCGCTGTGAATGAGTAACACTCAACAACTATCTAGTTACGAGGTAGTAGTAGTAGAGTTTAGACGGTAGAAGTTGAATCCATCGCGAATAGCATCAGTCAAACAGGCAACACACGCAGAAGTTAAATGGAACAGGTTGCTGACGATCCTCGACTCAGTAAGTGTAGTCGCGTGGAATTCATTTTGTATCAGCTAAATCCCCCTATTATTCCCTTGTAATCAGTTCATAGGCCAAACTACTGCTCATAATGCCGCAAGTACATTTCGTAGTCATTGCTGTTAGAGGACTGTTGTCCAATACAGGGCAATAAGGCGTAAGTGATTGGACAGTGAGCCGCGATATACCGCGTCTAATTAACATTCATGTCAGTCGTCGTTATCGCTAATGGCTCGGTGGCCTTAACACCACGAACTAGCAACAGTAAGGTCCCAGCCCCACAGGGGGTAGGTGGAAAACGCACAGATGACGATTCTCGGAAAGAGAAAACAGCCGCGCAGTGCTTTTCCAGACGTATCATGTCCGTTTGAGTGAGTCTAGCTGTGACAAATCCAACTATATATTGTCGCTGTTTGTATACGCGGTATAAGATATCCAACTGATACCTGTGGTGCCGATGAGTCGAAATTAAAACTGCCGTCCTAGTCAATATGGTTCCACAAGATGAGAATACTACGAGCGAAAATAAGAAGAATTAAGAGCTGGTGCGCCCTAACACTCACCTTCTGGCCGCAGATAAAAGTGATGACGAAAAAAGACGCGGTGCACAGAATTTACGGTGCGAACTCAACTTATGGGTAGAGCAGACACATTTAAAGAGTAACTAAGGCCAACTCGAGTTGTAGAAAAGATGGTCAGCAGTTTGGCACACACAAGCGTCATTGAGACACTGGTGAGCAAATCTTTTATAGAGTGAAACTTGATAAAAATATACATTCCAAAGATCCACCACGTAAACGCATTAACCGTAAAACACAGTTGCATTGACAACATTGGAGGAGTAGTGTCACACTCAGAAGACCCTGAAAGTTCACATTGGTTAGCTGTCCACTCGCAAAATGTGTATACAAAAGTCGTAAAACCAACTGTTTGCGAAGACATTTCTTTTCGACAAATCTTAGTAAGCATGCACAACTAAAAGCAAGTGTTGGCTGGAGTTAGTGGTTATTCTTACTCTGCTAGAAAGTCGATAAGCAATGTTTACCCAAAGCAGTGGAGATCACTAGAATTCAATTGAATGCAGGAACAATCGATGGTTTTTAAGCCAGCCACTGCAGCCTAGCGAGCAGCTCGGTTGACTGGACTATGGCCATGAGAGAATGAAGCTTCATAAGAACAATCCCGGTTTCAATGGTTCTATAGTAACGATTCCATCAATTTCTAGCACATCTTGGAGTCTCCCTGCGGCAAGATGGTAGATTAAACGAATCTGATGGGAAATTGTCCATGCTTGATAAAATTTATCAGAAAATATCTCTTCGCAAGCACTTGGCACTATGGAAATGTTGTGATAAGTCAACTAGCAGACTGGTAGTTTCCAAATAAGGACGCAGGCACTAGTTGACAGAGTGAGGCTTAGGGGCAGATCAACATCGTAAGCAACGATATAACTGCATCTATGACAGTGCATCCTCATTTTTCTACCCATTTGTAAACTTAGCATTTTTAATGGTACCCATTTGGTACATTTACTGTTGATAATGAAAAATGCTGAAAATGCACCCTTTTGGGTATATAAAGCTTACACTGACTTGCCTTGACTGACATACACTCGTTATGACCCTGCCAATAAAGAATAGTGAGACAAGAAAATAGAGCACAAAAACGGTTTTTCAATCAAACAAGGGGTCAAGTTGCCAGCTCCTCGTCAACAACTCACCGTTACAATCAATCGGCTATCGGTTAAAGCATCCGTCAGACGGCTTCGAGCTATAGTCAACCCAACATGGTACCACAGGAATTCAAAACAGGTAATCGCACTACGGAGCGGCTGTAAACGCGCCGTTGGTGCACCGCAAGGTATAGGACCACGCGCAGAATCAACAATACACAAAATAGTAATCAGTGACTTTAATGTCAGCTCCCAGGTGAACGATTGCCCATCTCAAAGATTATACCATTCCAAATAATACAAACAGTTGAAAATATCCGTGGTTCGGAGTGTGGATGTGGGTTTTGTAGTGCTCTCCGAGCCGATTGGTTAGTTTGCAGAAGTTTCATTGCGATACTAGGCAAGATCATCAGTGCGGCTTTATGGGTCTTCAAGGGTCGCTTATGAGGCTCTGCCCATGATGTCGAACAGATGATGTTGCCTAGTCTGGAAATGAAAATTCTGCAAACAGTAAGATGTTCTCAAAGTTGGATTTGAAGTGTGATGCCTTCCCAGCATGTGGTAAACCAGCGAATTCTACTCGTGTCCACGCCTACACAGCGCAGATAGTGATGTTTCTTGAAAATGTAGGGAACAAAATGGTGTACAGAACGAAAAGGAAGGAACAGTAAGGAACCGTTGGACAAAAGTGGAGACATTAAGTTGCTTACACAGACGAAGAAGGAAAAAGGAATGAAAAATGGAAAACAGTCTCAGTGAAAGCCAGATAGTTAGTTAAACAAGCTCGTTTATATACGGGTGGACTGGTGTCAACTGACTTGAAGTTAGGCAGATATTAAGTCGTGACAGCTAAAGATATCGCAGTATAACTCAAGATACTGGCTCGATATGGAGGCAGCGACGTGGTATACAGTCGCCGAAGTGCGCACCCACATGGAACGCGAAACGTTACACATAATGATTTTGACTCTCTGATTTTAGTAGAAGTATAGTGTTAAGAAAGAAAAGCTCTAGGCAAGCAGCCGAGGCGCCGGTCGCCGATACGGTGTGTCGCACTCTCCCACAAGAATCGGATGAACATAAGCCAACTAGATGAAACGGCCACTTAACAGGAGTGCGGTATTCTTCGATTCGCCATAGGATGAGCATTCTATTGGTTCCCCCCAGAGTTTCATATACCGTTCCTGAATGTTGGAGTTGACCTTTATAACGGACGACGTGACTAATCAGCACAACCCATTTCCCTCTACTCGTCCTAAACCGGTCATTTCTCTTTCCTGTGGGGGTCAGTGATCTTGAGTTTTCGATTGATAGCCGGCCGTCTAAGCAGTTGTAGGACGACTGCTTCATACACGATGTAGTAAGACTGCATAAATGTCAAAAGAAAGATCGACGTAATTGTTCGTATCGGAGGAAACGTGATCTAAAGCAGATAGCCCCAAGGACTCGAGTGGATAAGCCAACACTCCGATGGGAACAATCAAATTAGACTAGTCCGTCAACAACGATATAACAAGCGATGTGCAGTGGGTCGGATTGCGATGATTTTATCGGTATGATAAGGAGAAGTACCAAAGGTAAAACAAGGCCGGGAAGTGAAACTAGAAACTCAACCTAATGGAAGCAATGAGCACTAGAACAACCGGATTAAAAAGTCAGGGCTGAAATTGAAAGGATATTTCATATCTTCGTGACAGCCTAATTCCTGAAAGCCAGACTCGATTTCGCAGACACCGACCACATATGTACTCCTCGTCAAGCGTCTCACAAGACTGAGAATGTACTTATTTCTTTGCTAAAGAGGAGACACGTGAAGACGGGTGAGGATAACGGTTTCCCCTGACCTGAAAGTCACCTTCGAATCCATTGACCGGGCCAGCCTGTGGAACTGCCCATCGTTGGAGAGCGTGCTAAAAAACTCTTTCCCATTCTGAAATCTCTCTACCGTGACTCCTGAGGCCCGGTAAGGATCTAAGGGAAGATATTTTCCTAAGTTCCCCAAGACAAGTGGGGTTCGCCACGGTTGAAATTTACCGTCTCCACTTCAAATTGGACATTTTGCAAGCCAAAATGGATATTATTTATTTTAAAAAAAGCAACAAATCGTTGACAAGTTTTGAGGGGTAAGGCGACTGGACGATGTTCAGAACACATCGCTGTCAGGCGAATGTTAACCCGAATTGTGCTAGCAGTGGAAGCTAGTTCAAACCCTTTTCTTGAGCAAAAGCGGTGACCTAGTTTTCCCCTGTCTCCCTATCGGCCTGTCTGTGGGTGCGTGGGCGACCCTATGCAGCTGCTGGATTATTGGAACAGTGTAGGTTATCATGACTCCACCAGACCCAGCATACCGTTATTAGCTGTGATGCACGAACCGACCGAAATAAGCGACGAACGACGAGAAGGCGCAACTCTGAGACAGTGACAGTACAAACGAATGTTAGTGACAGAAACAAATCCTTACCAAGCTTGTGTTTGTTGACGCAATACCACTCAGAAAACTTCTTGAATCGGTGATGTCAATGACAGCACGGCAAAAAACATCATCAGTGCATACAGGTGGGAAGGTATCATTGCTCAGCGCAACTGTGTACCAACCAACGGAGAGAAGCTGAATGCCGATGTCCTACACCGTGTTGACGAGATGGCTGAATCACGTTTGGAGGACATCAGCGGCCGAGAGGAAACGGGATCCACGAGCTGTCCGATGAACATCGAGAACTTTGTATCATTTTAGGTGCCGTCGATGATGATCTTGAGTAAATGATGACTTAAACATTTATTGCCACAAACAGTGTCAACGCGCAGCCTTTGGCTATGGGCAAGAGAACGATCGTGCGGGTCTCCCTTCTTGCGCGAGCTTGCGTCGGCAGCAGATTGAACCCACTAACGTAGGAAGATGCACTTTTGTTTGTCATGCGGTGCGCGCACCGGTAAGTTGAGAGCGTAAGCATACCGGCTTGCGATCGTCGTGGCATTGTTGATGCGGTCTACCTTGTACTTCTTTAGGGTGATAAGTAGCCAGCTGAGAGCGATGAAGACCGTAAATACAGAAAGATGGATCCCATTCACTTTTAGGCGATGCTGTATTTTCACAAAAATGTCATCCGAACGTAATTCAACGATCTCGTCAGTATGCTGTAAAACATTGGCAGTCAGATTCTATCTGCTGTTTGCTGTACACTTACGCTGATTAATGGTACCTTTTCGCCTGTACGCATTGGATGTTTCTTGCCGTGGTCTCATTGACATCGGCGACTTCAGAATCTTCGTGAGTGGTTTTGCGTCGACAAAACCAAGCTTGGTGAGGAACTTTTTCTGTGTCAATAAGATTCGTTTGTGCCGTCGCTGTCCCAGAGTTGCGGCTTTTTGTCATTATTTGCTCATTTTGGTCAGTTCGTACATCAGCAGGCGAATAGAGCCAGACAAAAATTCGTGGGATCATAACAGCCTACACTGTTCTCCTAGTCGTGCAACTTCACAGATTCACACACACACACACACACACACACACACATATATATATATATATATATATATATATATATATATATATATATATATATATATATATACAATCAGCGAAGGCCGATAGGGAAAACTGGGTCACCGCTTTGATTGAGAAGAACGAGGTTTATGGTCAAGAGAAGTGTTCGAACTAGCATCCACTGCTAGTACAATTCGGGTTACATTAGCCTGAACATCGACTGGTCGGCTTACACATCAAAACTTGCTAAAAAGAAGTGCTGGTTTTCTTCTTAAAATAGTATCCAGTTAGATTTGCAAAAATGACAGTTTGGTTTGCAAAACGTCGGGTCAGGCTTGCGAAATATCTAGTTTGGTTTGTAAAACGGCCAGTTAGAAGTGAAAATGGTATGTATCACCCTTTTTCTCCAACTTCTTGGTCAAAATGATCATAAATAAGTCGGTTCTCTCAGCCTTTCGTAATGTAGATCCTACAAGATGATCGAGTATGTGGACAACGTAGTTCTCCTTAAGTCTGATACACTGGCTATGCGAGCACTACTGAGTGGGATGACGCGTAGCACTACACGTTTCGGCATGTGCTTTGCACAGCATGGTTACAGAAGTGAACTGACACGCCACTGGCTTTATCTACCGCTGAACAGCCACTGCAAGTGGTGGATGGGTTCAATCATTTTGGTAGTTACGTCACGTATGGTGGCTACATCACTGACAAGGTTACTTTGTGTACCATCAGGTCCCGTGTGGTATTTCAGAAGATAAAGCAGTTATGGAGAAGGCGAGATATCATCCTATCAGTGGAAGGTGACAAGGCCGATTTTAATTTATGGACCAGAGACCTGGCCAATTCGCAGTGAAGGCATTGGACGCTTGGCCGTTTTCAATAATCGTTGCATTCGGAGTATCGATAAAATTTGGTGGGAACGTCAAATAAGCAATGCTTAGGTCCGCCAGTTGGCTTTGGCAGGGAATCCACTGGTGACCCAATGGAGTTCTTGTTAAAACTAAACTGGATCCGTTGGCCAGGTCCTCTGCATGCCTATTGGCCGCCTTTGTGGGTGTGCATTGTATGCCGTCGCTGCACCTAGCTGAGAGAAACCGAGGTGGACAGCCGCCGATGTGCCACAGTGATACGAAGAAATTGGCTGAAAGACTTGGTCAGGCTGGTGCGTAGATGGTGGCCTTGGGATGATCTAGATAAGTGGTTGTAAACTCTAACCGATGTAGCGCAGTCACGTAGTCAGTGGCGTTGCTCTATTCGGTTTTCTGCATCCGCCCGTTAGTATTCAATTCATTCCGTCTAGTTTTACGCAGTTCTTTCTAGGTTCCATTGTACCTGTATTCTGTTTGCGTTCAAGCCGATTTGCCCCTTGTTATTTATTGTTAATCTGGAGATGTGAGTTGTGGTAACTGAATCCACTGCAGTCCGGTGCTCAGATCATAGTTAACTGAACTGAATTTGTCAGCTGATACTGCAAATCGCTAGTAAGTCTACTCTTAGCCCATTAACAGACAGATAATATACGTCATCCGCGTACCGCTTCTCAATGAGTTGAATCAGGTTTTCATCACTTCATCGCGTAACCGCTGCCATATCAAATCCAGTAATGTACAGCGTTGGTAGAAAACATGAGTAGAGGTGTGTGGCAGGGAAGCTTTCAAGGTGGGCCCTGAAGAACCCAATGTGGAATGGAAATCAATGACTGAGAGATGGTGTTGTTTGAATGTCTGTATGAGACACAAGGTTGTGACTGACACCACCTAAGATACAGGGGAAAATACCTGCGAAAAATGTGACATAAAGGATAACAGCGATGATGGAGTTCTGTCCCTTTTTATCTAAGGCGTCGACGTAGGGTTCTGGTCTATAGTACTTTACTTACTAGTCTGATCGCAGGCACAAGATGCAAGAAGCGAGACTAAGTATGTAAACAACTCAATGTCGACTCACCGATTTCTGCCAGCGTTTCCAGCTCCCTGGCGTGAATTTTTAAGCGTTCCCCATCCACCACGATTTCTGCTTCAGTGGACAGGCCGGGAGGTAGCTGATCCAGTACCGCCGGTTGCAACTGCACCGGATTAATGGGAGCTAACTTCAAGTGCTTGCGGACACTCATCGCTCTCTAAAGCCCCGAGCGAGGCAAAGCTGTGGTAAGACGAGGAAAAAGTACACATGTAAAACTGAGCGGGAAAAGTCGAAACAAAATGCACTGTTGTGAAGATACACCAGAAGGATCAGCACGCCGACCTAGTGGTCAGATTAATCGCACTGGGATGATCCATGAGAGATGGTATCCACTACTGGCTAAAAGCATGGGTTCGTTTGACCACCAGAGAGAAACCAGTTCCCTCAGGTTATCAATAAGTAAACGAAATTAAAGTTCGAACAGTAGAGGTTCAGATAAGATATCAGGGTGAAAATTACCGATAGAGAAATACTTAGCTGGATCCAGTTGCCGCGACTCACATCGCAATAATAACAATAAATAACAACGGCAGGATAGCGGGGTTAAGCGCAAATGGGATGTAAAGGAAATGGAAAGAAGGAGAGTATGTATTAAACTAACCAGAATGTAACGAAAATTAACGAGATGCAAGGAAACGAATGCGGGAAATCCACGGACTGCATGACTGCGCCATCTCTTATGCGGTATCCAACCACTGGTGTGACCATCTCGAGGTCCCCATCCAGGCCTGCGCAATTCCCCCAGTCAATTTCTTCATGCCTTGATGCTACGTCATAAACTGACCACCTCCAGGTTTCGCCCAACTTCGTGCAGTCACGGCGCATAATGTACGCCGAGGAAGCCGGTCAACGGCATACGGAGGACATTGTCCAGCCAACGGGAGCGATTAAGATTCAGCAAACACTCGAGTGAGGCGCCAAAAGGCTACTAGCCAAAAACCAACCGGCGGACCTAAGCACAGCTCACTCGGTGTCTCCACCACAGGTGAGCAATACTCCTCAAGCACCGGTGGTCAAACACGGCCAAGTGTTTAATGTCTTCGCTGCAAACACCACCACTTCCAGTGGTTATTCGGTGATATCTAGAACCGGAGGTGTCGGTCCAGTCCTGCAGCAGTACTTTGCACTTTGAAGGTACAAAGCACATGCCGAAGTGTGCAGCGCTACCCGTCAGTCTATCCAGCAGTGTTTGCATAGCCACTGCATCGGACCCAAGAAGAGCTATGTCGTCCGCATACTCCAGGTTTGTTAGTCGGTCACCTGGCAGAACTCCCACTGCGGTAGAGTTTGAAAGAACTGAGTCACTCATGATCATTTCGATGACAAAGTTGATGAGGAAAGGATATAGGACAACCCTGATGAACCCCAGTTGTTGTGGGGAACTCAGGGGGCAATTTCCCGCAGACCCTTACACGGCCTAGGGAATCACGGTAGAGACTTGGGAATGAAAAGGAAATTGGCCGGCACGACCTGTATGGCAGTGCCACAGTCTGACGCAGTTAACAGATTCAGCTGTACACCGTAACGGCGCTTCGCTGCCGCGTGACCACCACCAGTCGCGCGTTGGCTGAGCATACCGCAAGGACGCCCGCCCCTACGCGGATTCGAATCGGTGACCTTTTGATTGCAAACCAGACCTTACTGTACGGTTGCGAAATTTGGCCCCTTAAATCAGCGGACATAAAGAGGCTAGTTAAGTACGACCAACGGTGCCTTTGCAGCTTGGCTCACATCTGGTCGGAACACCGCGTGAGCAACGAGCGTATTCGACGCCTTGTTTGCGGCACAGAAAAAGGAACTGAACCGCCCAGCACCGTCATTTCACGCACCAGGCTCCGATGGCTCGGCCACGTGTTGCGCATGCCAACCCACCGACTTCCGCGACGTGCGTTGTTTGCTCACCTAGAATATGGATGCAAGAACAAGAGCGGTGGCCAGGTGATGACTTCGTCGAGAGGAATGAAGGCCCTCACTTCGGAGCTGGCCTCGGTTGGAGCTTCACGGCTCCCTGGTTGGGGTCCAAAAGACGAACACGTTTGGCTAGATGGACTTGCTGACATGGCTAGGAGCCGACCTCAGTGGCGTTCCTGCTCTGAGTTTCTTTGTCCCTCCCCATCCCTTTTAGCCTCCCCCTCCAACCGCTCTCATTTCGTAGCGTAATATAATTTTACATCATAAGTTTTCTTGTTGCCTAGTAGCTGGCTGGTAGCTTACCAGAACGATGCCCTTCCGTTGCTGGTAACTCGACTGGCATGCAACTGTTGTATTTATTTTCCTTGTTCTTTTATGTATTGCGGCACAGTAGCTGAGGTGTTTCCCACCTCTAGCTAATGTGTATACTGATGACGATAGTGAAACTAGACGCGCAGACCACTCGACCACCGGTCGGCACAGAGTTGAAGGCAGGTTTCAAATCAAGGAAAACGACCATAGTCTGTCGTCAGTATCTTTGCTTTAACACTTGGCGAAGAGTAAATATGTGGTCTATACAACCACGACCAGGGCGGAGGCCAGCCTGGCTTTCAGCGGTACGGTTCTCACGGGAATCATTAAGTCATCAGAGAATGATACCCGTGAGGAGTTTGGATGCAATAGAAACAAGGCTGATACTTCAATGATTTTCACACAAAGTACGCTGACCCTTCTTGAAGATAGGCACCACAGTTGACAGTCGCCAGTCTGAAGGTACATCTTCACCGTTCCAGATCGCGCGAGTCCAATCAACAAAGGGTCAATACTATCTTTCAGCCGATGCAAGAAGGTCGTCGCATCCAGGAGCTTTGTTTCGTCTTGGTACAGAAAACTTATGTCGATTCTCTTCCAAAGCGGGAGGTATGACATCTACTTCCCATGACAGCTCAGGCGATTCGGCAATGGCGTAGCAGATCTGTTGAACTGCTCTTCAAAATGTCCCACCCAACGAGCTAATCGACGAGGCTGAGAATGGATCAGCTGCCCGTCTTTCTCAGCTATTGTCTCGCTAACGGTCGTCTTTCTTGGACCCGCGTTCCGGATGAGCTTAAATAGCACTCGGCTGTTCGTAACAGCACTGGCTTTCTCCATCTCACGGGCCCTTGCTATCCACCAACGTTCCCGGTCGATTCGAAGACTCCTGCCGATGTGTCAGTCCAGAGAGTTCCGGACACGCTGAAAACCAATGACTATTGGAACTTGTTTCTGCGCTTCAAGCAACCTGATCGATGCTTCAGAGATCTATTCGTAGGTAGGACGTCTCAAGTTGGGTACGCAGCATACATCAAAGGCGTTCTTCATGACCAAGTTGAGGCGATCACATTCAGCGTTCGGTTCACTAACCTTATTCATCGCTGACAAGTGGTGGGCCAGCTCGTCGTGATATAAATGAACCGCGGATTGCGAGTTCAAATTGCAATTGAAAAGGTTAAGCCAGCCGCTTTTTTGAAGCGGGAAGACTGAATGCCAAGTGTGCATGCAATAGGGCCTAGTCGGAATCCAGGCACGTGCTACAAATTGACCGGCAGTCTTGGACTGATGTGCGCCATCTGCAGCTGATGTCAATATGTCCAATTTGGGTCCAGGTCATTGATGGATTGGGTAGGCGTCAGGTGGCGCGGTGTGAAGGTTTGTGTTGTAATGCAGTGCTGCTGAGGTAAAGATTGTGGACGGCGCACAGTTGCAGCATTCGACCTCCACTGTCTGTTCGGCGTGCATCGACTCCAAAACGGCCGCCCAAGTGTTGTATGTATGTATGTAATCTCAACAGTCTATTAACTAGACACAGCCAGCATAAAACCATGGAGATCAGCAGATAAGCAAGATTCATCATTTCATAATCATCGTGGCATGCTAGTTGAAGGTGAGCAATATACTTTAACTAATATGCCGTAGGAAGAATGGAACATTTTGACAACAAGTAGAACAAAACATTTTTAGTTTGTTTTTCACACGCCGATTTTGCTCTTATTTGTCATTTTGTAGTATTAAATATGTGAAGCAATACAATACTGTACACAATTTCTCCAATGATTCCGGAGGCCGACCATGTCTTAAAGCGTGCTAAGCCATTGGCACTCCTCATCTTTGGGTCAGCATCCTGGAAGACGTAGGGATCTAACAGCGCCTAGACACGACGTCAACGATTTCATGTGCTGCCGCCAAGTGGAAAGCTGACCGCCACGCGGTCGCCTCCAACCAAATCCTTGACTAGCGAATAGAGCGTGACAAGGTAGACGCTTAGATGCCATGCGTAGGACGTGACCGAGCCATCTCAACTGGCGTAACAAAACCAGTTTGTTGAAGGGAATACTCGCATTCCCCAAGATACGACGTCGAACGTCATTACTATTAACTCGATGTTGCCACCGAACACGAGCGATCCTCCTTAAGCAACCGTTATCGAAGACAGAAAGACGACGCATGCCTACCACACGAATCGGCCAGGACTCTCATCCATACAACAATACTGAGCGAACTGATGCGCTGTAATCGCGGTCCTTTAGTGAGAATGAGACATCGCGACGACGCCACAAGTGCCTCAAATTGACAAATACTGATCGAGCTTTAGCGATACGAAGAGAAACTTCTTTGTTGATAGTGTCGTCAGCAGAAACACAGCTCCCAAGACAGACGAAACTATCTACCTGTTCAAGTTGTGCACCTTCGAGAGTGAGTACGGGAGCAGGTGAAAGCCAAGCCTTGAGCAATACTTTACACCGATGGGGCGAAGCTCATGCCATACTTAGATGCTTCAACCGCCAAATGATCCAGAATGAGTTGCATACTCTGAGGATCGCCACCAAGTAAAACGATATCGTCAGCATAATCTAAGTCGGTCGCGCGCTCACCCGGTAGAAGCTCTAAGCCAAAATGTTCGAAACCTTCTAGAGCATTCGACAGAACGTCTTCGATTGCGAAGTTGAAGAGGAATGGGGACATAGGGTAGCCCTGTTGCACACCGCTATTGACAGTGAATTGCGAGGAAAGCTTGCCATAGACCCTCACTCTGCCGGATGTATGAAGGTAAAGTGCTCGTAAGATGGCGGTATATTTCTCTGGCACCCCGTTTCTTAGCGAGCAACTCCATAAAGTAGGTCGATCAACAGAGTCAAAAGCGGCACGTATGTCTAGGAATGCAACGATAGTGGGCCTGTGATATAGGTGGCGATGTTCGAGGAGCTGGCGGAGCGTGAAGATTTGATCCAC